AAGTGGACCTATCTGAGACGCCGGTAGGAATTTAGTGGACTCATTCGGTACGGCGGTGAGGTATAAGTGGACCTACAGGGATTAAGTGGACCTATCTGAGACGCCGATAGGGATTAAGTGGACCCATCAAGACGCTGATGGGGTATATAGGTGACTTACTTGAGACGCCAGTAGGGTAATTTGTGAAATCTTTTGAATTATGCATTGCCGTTAAAATGTTATACGCATTTCAATTATTCGAATTATACTTAATTATGCATTTTTTTTTTTAAAGTGAACTGTTAATGCATTTGTGTTAATAGATCTCTATTTTGAAAATATTGATACCTTTCAATCATGATTATTTTTAGGATTATGATGATCACTTACTGAGTAGCCAACCTCATCAAATTATGGTAAACATTTTTTCAAGATAACTGCGGTTTCATTTTGAGTGCTCGTCAAGATCAACCTTGAAAGGTATTGTAGTTGTGCTTAAACTTTCTTTTGTTACCTTGTAAGAATTCGCCACTGTAAATTTGTCCTATCAAGAGATGTATATATGTTTTGACTGTCGCATCTCAGGAATATTAGTATTGTAAATTCTTGGGGTGTGACAATTGTCGATTAAGATTATTGCTAACCGTTTTTTTTTTTGGATTTCTTATAAGTAGGTAGCTACTCATGCCGATGTTGGATGATATTTTAAGAAATTATGCTGTGTGTTCTCCTCTGAGCAAAGCTAGAAGTCTAGAGCTCACCCTTGTGCTACTAACAGTGATGTTGGATAACACTTTCGGAAAAGGATTGTACAAAATGCCTGTCCTTGGGCATCCTATAGCTTATAGCTTTCACAACCATCTGATGTTAAAAAGAGACGGTTCGGGTATGGTTTTCCTCAGCTCCAAGTTTGTCAAAGAAATTTGAGTACCATCCTTGTTGACATCTCAGCAGCTGCAATGATAACATTTGATACTTTTCCTTCTGCATAGTGGCTATTGATGTTGTGTGCCACTTTTTTCTTCTGTTTTTGCTTTTAATTGATTTTGGGACTCAATAAGAGCTGAATCCACTACCCAAAACATCCACCTCCATGATCAAGCTTGATCTTAGGCAAATATAACTTTTTCAAACTGGTCTTTCCTTTAGATGGGAATGTAGCTTTGTACATTTTGTTGAGGCCCCTATCACTGCAAAAGACCAAGCTAAGTGATCATTTCAACATTGACTTGTGCTTGTTCACATTTTTATTGTAAGCCTTTGATTGAAATGTTTGTAGGAATCCCATGAACTATGTGCTATATACAGTATGCTTTGAAATTTGTCAGTAAAAATTCATGTGTTGTTTTGTCATTTTTCCACAAGCACTCATTTCTTCCACATAATAGAGAACCTGGTTGTACTTCTATTGTTTTCTCCAAAAAAAACAAGTTGCATTTGGTTGTATTTGCTAATGGCCCTATTATATGTCTTATTCTTGGACCTTTTCCCTAAAAAGTTGGAAGTGCTTACTAACTCCCTTTGGAGGAGTTATTTTGAAGTTAACCTGTCTAAAAATCACTCTACACAACTAGTTTGAGTTTTTATTTATTTATTTTATATCGATAATTTCTAAGTTCAAAGGATTATTGCTCCAAAATTTAGGGTACCATAAATACCCTAGCTTAAGTTTCACTTGAGGTAGCAGTAGACTGTATGCTCATGCAGTAGTAAAATATAATTTGGGTAGTGGGTAAATGGCTCTCTTTTACCATCTGTCTTTTTTGTGTGATTACCCTTACTATTATTCCTAGGTATTCTCCTCAAGCCGTTAGAGAATCTAACAGCTAATGTCTCTTATTTTTTATAAAATATTTTTTCAAATTCTAAGCACTATCAATAGCACAATTTCTTCTATTTAAATTACACTTTTGATGGCTAGAACTGATTGTGACCTTTTTATACTATAATACAAAATGCAATAAGTCTTATTCCATAATTTCTCTAAAAATTGTTGATTTGACTTGGAATTGCCCTGGTTATCCAATATTCCAATGTTTCCATTTTCTTTATAACTATAGCTCGGTCCGACTAGGTAATTATTTGACCTAAAAAATTAGAGTAAGGCATTTAGGCTGGTTCCAAGTTTTAAATAACTGGCAACTGCCAGGGTCAAGCCGAACTTGAGCTTAGCTTGGGGCTCTATAGGGGTGGCCAAGCTTGACTAGAATGGGACCTAAAAAGGCTTGGCCTCATTCGAGCAGGAAAAAATAGGAGAAAATACTTGGCAGACTAGGCATGTCATAACCCAAGCTTAGATTGGGCCAACGCGGGCTTACAATATCCCTAGGCAAGCGTCGAACTGCTGGGGCAACCCTAGCTGAGGCCAAATTCAATTACAGTAAAAATATAGAAAAGCAAAACAATAAGAAGCAAAACGGTGGGGCCAGGCCAAGCAGGCTGACCCCTGTGACACACCTAGACTAGGGCTGGACCAGTCCTATCTGTGGGTTGTGGTGGCTCAGCCCTAGATCAGCCCTCATACTACATTTTGTTGCCCATGCCCAAATTTTTAGAGCCAAGCCGGCCGGGCCCGGTTTGCCAGCCCCACTTAGTTACTTTCAGTTATGGGATTGTATACTATGATACCATTTATCTTCGTTACAAGGTCACAAACTACTCCTATCCATTAGATATCAAATTGGATGACTTGCTATATTTTATAAAGTTCTAGAAATTTTTTTTGAACTTTGAGTGTCGTCAATGACACTCTTACAACAATCTGATTTGCTTCTCATGGACAAGGATAATTGTGATCTCTTTGTACAAAAATTAAAAGGAAAGCTTTCTATAATTCCCCTGCTGTATAAAAGTTATATATTTCTTCCCCTATCTTGCCGTCCAATTTATATCAAGTGAGCCTCTAACCATTTGATATAGATCTGACACCTCAGAGTATTTTATTTTAATATATTTTTTGCAAGTTATATGATTTCAAAATTTGGTAGGTGTGATCACCTCAATTGGGCGCATCTAAAGTTTTTATATGAAATTTGGTACACGTGATCACTTCAATGGGTCACATCTATTTTTTTTTAAAAAACAATTCCCTATAAAAAAAATAACCAAAATACCTCTAAAAATTTTAATGGTATTTTGGTTATTGTATTTTTTCAGGAATATTTTTTAATAGTTTTTGCAAGGGCGAATTTAAGAGAAGAATGGATGCCCAAAATTTGGTGCCAAATATTTTGTAAAAAAAAAAGTTTAGAATCAAATAGTGTAGAGGCATGACATAGTGATTGAGTACATCTCAACCCTTCGTTACAGTTAGATAGATAGAAGTACATAACTTATGGTACACATAAAAATACTTCTATGAAAGTATTTTCACGTGAAAGAACTCTCCTATGTGTGAAAGTATTTTCACATGAAAGAACTTCCCTTATGTGACTAAGTGTGGAATTTTTTTTTTCACACCAATTAGTGTAAAAAAAAATGCATTAGAACCAATTGAAATTGACGTAAAAAAACTCGGCCACTTAATCACATGAAGAAGTTCTTTCAAGCGTTGATAGAAAAACAGGGCGATCTAAACACTAATTGTCTAGTTTTTGGTTTTGGGCGGTTTTGGTGATAGACCGGTATTTTTAAAAAAAATTCAAAAAAATATATAAAAATTCTCAAAAAATAAGGAATTCGATTTGTAATGCATTTTTTTAATATTCTTTATGTAATGGCAAAGATTAAAACTTATTTTTGTCATTAATATTCACTTTAATTCAAAAATCGACTCGTTAAAATCTATTTCTCATTAATTTCAACTTCATTTGAATGTGTTTTGTTTTAATCATTCTTTATATAATTTTTTTTTTTTTATCTTTTTTATTTTTCCAACACTTTTTTTGATCGCCCGCGACTTGCCCGATTAGAACAGTTGAATCAGCCGGTTTACCAGTTAGGCCGGTTAAACCACTTACGGGCCCACATCTGATTAACCGTTTCAGTTCGATTTTGCGAACACTGCTTTCAAGCACGTACCAAAAGTATCCTTACAGCAGGGGAAGTATAAAAAACTTTTCCAAAAAAAGGGTAAAAGATCTCATTGTATACTTTTCCTCGAGTTAATGGGCAATGATTTCATGCCGGTTGCATAGTAATATAATACAATAATCTTAAAAAATCATGTTAAGGCTATTTTTTTGATCCAAAATTTAAAATATACACTCTTTTCATTCTAATGAACAATCACAAAAAAAGAAAAAATTGAAAACGTAATCTCGAAAATAATTTTTTAGCCCAATTAACATAAGCCATCTATTTTGCAAGTATGCTTAGACCTAAGCTTTAGAAGACTTTTTTCTTTTCCAATTTTTTTAAATGGTTTTATTATCTGAACAATATTAATTTTTTTATTTTTTGAATTTTTAAAAGCTAAGATTTTGAAATTCACCAAATGAATGGTCTAGATTCATTATTGGAAGGGACTCGTTTTGAATATATCTAGGATTCAAATCAAAATTTTTTTTTTTTTTGGAGATTGATTATTGAGATTTTTTTTTTTATATAGAGATTTGATTATTGAGATGAAAAGAGTGTGTAAAAAAATTTGGATGATAAGAATATCAAAAACATGATTTTCTAGTTGCATTATATTACGGTACAAAGGTTGAAAGAAGCGGGTGTCTTGAATTATCTGCCGTTGCTTTCTAATCTTGCCTTTGACCCGCCGCTCCACCTTCCCTTCACACCCCTCCCTTCCCCTGACCTGCCCTGCAATTCCCTTTCTCCTTCCTTAACTACTCTCTCTCTCTCTCTCTCTCTCTCTCCGACTAAAAGTCTACAAAAGCCCTATCTCTTCTGGGCCAGCAATTCTCTCTCTACAAATTCCCTCTCTGTTTCTCGACCCACTACGTCTCTCTCTCTCGATCTTGCCATCGAGTGGAGCTTCTTGGGCCCTCATCTCTCTACCTTTCCTTCAGCCTGCCACCCAATTCTCCTGCCCATTCAACCCATCTCTTTCACTGTAATTTCACAGGAGCTTTCTGGGCTCTTCAATTCCCGTCAGCCTGCAACCCAACGCTCCTTGCTTTTATATAAACAAATACCCCATATCCTCTCTCTCTGCAGCTGAAATACAGGAGCTTCTTCGGCCTCAATTCAGTGAGTCTGTCTTTTCCTCTTATCTTTCTCTCTATACGCTTCCTCTATCCCCCTTTCCTCTCCGCTCTCTCCCTCTATCTTTTATCTTCTTCCACCCTCATTTCACCCCAACTTCTTATTTCTTCTCTCTTTGTCCTGCCAATTTTATGCTCGTTCTTTTCCTTCATCTACTAAGCTTTCAGCTACTAGTGCCCGTTTGAATCCCCATAAAAAGCTTGAAATCCAAACTCTTCGGGTTTGATTCCCAATTTTGTCGTTGGTTTTTCTACTCTATTTTAGCTTTCAGCTACTAGTGCCTTTCTGAATTCCCTAAAAAAGTTAGAAATGCAGAGGAATAGTCCAATTAGACTTTAAAAACCTCTCCTTGCGGCTTTCTCATAAGATGGAATCCACGCCGCCCCACCATGAATCTCAAAAGAAACCCACCATCTTCACCTATGAAGCTCCATGGCAAATCTATGGCCTAAACTGGTCAGTAAGGAATGACAAAAAATTCAGGCTAGGAATAGGTAGTTTCTTAGAAGATTATGGTAATAAGGTTGAGCTTGTCGACCTTAATGAAGAGTCAGGTGAATTTCAAAGTGACCCACGTCTTGTTTTTGATCATCCATACCCTGCAACCAAGATAATGTTCCTTCCTGACAAGGAATGTGTCAAACCTGATCTCATGGCCACATCTGGTGATTACCTCAGAATTTGGCAAATTTATGACGATCGGATTGAGCTCAAAAGCCTATTGAATGGTAACAAAAACAGTGAATACTCAGCCCCATTAACCTCTTTTGATTGGAACGAATTAGATAATCGAAGAATTGGGACCTCTAGTATCGATACTACTTGTACCATTTGGGATATAGAGAGAGAAATAGTTGATACACAGTTAATTGCCCATGATAAAGAGGTCTATGATATAGCTTGGGGTGGGGTTGGGGTATTTGCTTCTGTATCAGCTGATGGTTCAGTGAGAGTTTTCGATCTTAGAGATAAAGAACATTCAACCATTATATACGAGAATCCACAACCTGATACGCCTCTGCTCAGATTAGCCTGGAACAAACAAGACCCGAGGTTCATGGCTGCTGTTTTAATGGACAGTAACAAAATTGTGGTTTTGGATATTAGATACCCAACTTTTCCAGTGGCTGAGTTGCAAAAACACCAAGCTAGTGTTAATGCACTAGCATGGGCACCTCATAGCACATGTCACATGTGCTCTGCTGGAGATGATTCTCAAGCTCTTATATGGGAACTGAATAATTCGAGCCAGCCGGTTATGGATGATTTAAACCCAATTCTCTCTTATACTTCAGAAGCTGAGATCAACCAGTTGCAGTGGTCTTCTTTGCAACCTGATTGGATAGCCATTGCCTTTATGAACAAGATGCAGATCCTAAGAGTTTGAAGCTATTGGTTCCATGGACTTGACTCACTTTTGTAAGCTTTTGGTATGGTCTTGGAGGGCTCTTAACTCTGAAAGTGTCAAGGCTCATGAATCACAAGCATTTGAGACTACAGAAGGATGGGAATAGTTAACTGACATATTCTATTGGTGATTTGGGATGGTTCGGAGAGTAATACATTGAATAAGTAGGGGCAATGGGTATTTATGGCTTGTTTCTAACTGATGCTGCTGACGCTTATGAAGTCTGTATTTCTTTGCTCTCATTCTCCATCTGATTTTCTTTTTTCTCAAATTAATTTACCAATTGACATAAGAATTTGGAGGAATGATGCAGTGACAGGTTATTTGGAGAACTTTATGAAGTATTGAGCAATATTTAATAATGCCTTATTCATCAATCTTTGTATGTAGTTTTTAATCATTCTAGTTCTTTTCTTAGAGAGTATACCCTGCATTTTTGTTTATCTTTGGATGATTATTAAGCTTCGAGCGTGCTGGTTTTCATTTCTATCAGTGGCTTTTTGGTTTTTTTTTCTTTTCTTATGGTCGAAATTTTCTCCTTTTATATTGATATTCTTTTTCGCTCTTAGTTTCTGCCAATCTGGGTTTTGCTTTCCCTCCTTAGAAAAATGACAATTCATTTAGCAGTCTTATTGTGCTTATTACTTTCTTTCAGGTCTGCCCCCTGTTTATTTATTTGAAATGAGGCAGAACAATTTAATAGAGTTGCTTATGACCCATATAACCGTTGTAATTCTAGTAAACATTCTAAACTTTATTTATGAATGTTTTTGGATGTTAAAATAGTAAAAAAGAAACATTCCACTGTTAAAAATTCTAGCAAAACCTACATCTTTAGAGGTATCAGAATCCTTAGAAAAGCCCATGTAAGAGAGTGATCAAATTCCTAACTTTAGAAAGCAAGGAAAAGTAACCACAAAAGCATCTTATGTCTATCCTGTATGTAGCTAAATTCTGTTGTTGATATTCAATATGACAAGGTAGTCATTAGATATATGATGTTAAATCATGGGATCCTATATGTTCATATTTGATGCATGGCTTTTGACATTGTCTTTATCTCTATACTCCTTTCAAAAAAAGGCTTGATTAGCTTGTTTGTGCTTTTTGGGGGCAAGGGTTTGAAGTTTGAACCTTGACGTCCCTCGCCCAAACTCATGATAAGAGATGTGCATCCTGGAGATTTGAACCCTGTTCAGTTCCCTACTCATAGATGTTGTCTAAGCTTCCGATCTTGCTACAGGGACTTGTGTCCCTCTGATCGGTGCATCCATGTTTGTGTATGTGAGCTGTGTCATGTGACTTTTTTGAACATGTCTTCTGCTGAATTATAGACCTGTTACGTGATTTTCTGACATACATTCTTGTTAATTTCTACATCTCCAGAATGATTTGTTTGGTTTAACTTCGGACTCTTTCTTCTATTGTCATAAAAATTAGACTGGATGCTGGTTGAATTGAATTTGTTATAGATGAGTTTGAATTAGCCTGCCTGATTGGCTCATTTGTTAACTTGTCAATTTGATGATTGATCTCTGAGTGTCAGATTTTTGGAACTCACTATGTCTGCTCAGAAACTTACTGAAAAAGAAGTACCAAGTCAGGCCAAGAAACCCTATGTTAACTTGGCCAAACTCTAGTGACCCCTTTGAGAGAATCAGCTCTTATTGAATAATGAATTTGGTTGCCTTCGTCTTAGACTTTGTCAGTCTGGCGTTTCCCTTGTACAATTTTGAGCACTATTTCCAAGTTCTGTATTTAATAATTAGTGACCAGGTTCTTGTTTATATTTTAAGTAATATTAACAATCGATTTAAATTTTTGAACATTCAATGAGTTAAAGGCTCAAAGACTGGGTCATGTCATGTGTATTCAGTTTCACAGCACTCATTTCTTTGTTTTTACCTTGTTTATATTTGAAGTAATATTAACAATCGATTTAAATTTTTGAACATTCAATGAGTTAAAGGCTCAAAGGCTAGGTCATGTCATGTGTATTGAGTTTCACAGCACCCATTTCTTATTTTTACCTCAATTTCATGTTCTGATGTAGGTCTCGTCTAGAATTTCTTGCATATTTCTATTCCTGTAGGGAGGTTTTCGACATGGATTATTCGGCTAATTCAACATAGCTATGACATGCGATAACATCATCCGATGCACAGATTTTAGTATGGGGAGCCTTTGCCCATCTTTTAATGTATTGGTTACACATTTCAATCCATATAAAATGCCACCAAAATATTAACTGTTAATGTATAGAAAATGTTGTGTAGTCTTTACCAAACTCTAGTTAGTTAATAGACCATATATAAGGCTTATTGCACCTTGCATTGAGAGTTATGTTGCCCGTTTCGAACATGTTATGATTCCATGACAAAGCTCACAGTAACTTCTTAGATATGGCTATGGTTCTCCATGGTCCTTAACTCTCCATGGTCCTCAACTGGTCAGCTCACTTTTTCCAAATAGTTCTATAATTCTTTCGAACTATTTGGAAATTAAAAATCAAGTACTTTTTTATTATAATTTTGAAAGAAGATAGCTGATTTCATACTTTTCGTTTTTCCTAATTGTAGCCCCACTTAATTCAATCTCAAAATAACATATCAAGAACTTTAGCTTATGCATTTTCCTAATTTTGAAAAAAATACAAATTCAAATCATGTGATTAGATTTGACACATTTCGTTTTCAACATTGATTTTCATTTTGAAACTCACATTATAAAAATGCACAAGCTGAAGTTACCCTAGAAGGAAACATTTGTTCAGTATCGGCAATTAGGAGCAATTAGGAGTACTTTTTGTCATGGAAAAAGTTTATATAGAGCTGACGCATTAAACAATCAAACTAGAGCCGACCTCAAAAACTTTCATTAGAAGAGGTTGTTTTGATACCCAAATATCCTCAAATTGATCATCTCGACATCAAGATAAACTAGAGCCTAGCTCAAAAATTTCATTAGAAGAGGTTGTTTTGATGTCCAAATATCCTCAAATTGATCATCTCGACATCAAGATATATGGACCTGAGTAAAAAATAAATTTCAACTTTTGAAAATAGTGCATCTTGACATTTTTGGACAGTCAATTTTCAAGATTTTCAAGTTTTCATAGATATGCTCGATCTACACTATTTTTGAAGCTTTAAATTTTATAATTAAAGATGAAAATATATTTTAAGGGTATCACAAAGGTTTCTAGTATTGAAACCGCAATTCTCGGCACTATTTGAAAGTGCGATTTATTTTGATTGTTTAGAACCTCGGCAAGTTTTTTTATTGTCATAGAACAAATCAAGACAAAGAATATCTAGATGATTAAAAGGACTACAGAATGAACTTGATTTCAAGAGATTTGGATGAGTAATGGATGAGAAATCTAGAAGAAGGCAAATATGGCTCAAAAACACTCTGTGAAATATTCATTTTGGGGGAAAAATACTAGAGATGGGGAGGGAGGAGATGAATCTTTTTTTTAGATTTTTTTAATTTTTTTTCAAGACCCTCGAATTGTGCACTCGGGGGACTCGGAGGCCGAGTCCAGATATGCTGGATTGGAGAGCCACCAAGCCTGATGACACTTTGAGCTTCAATCGTGCTTGCTTGCTTCCTTATGAAAAGAGATATTAATGTGACACCTCAAGAAAGTTCCATGGGTTGGCTGACTCGTCCTCGAAGGGGCGACTGTATGAGTTCTGCACTGTCAAAACTCGGAGCTCAGGCCGTAACAATAAGCACATAGAAAAGGACGCCGTTAGCATGCGGCCGGGCCGCATATTGTAGAAATGCAGGCTTGGTAATAAATATATATTTTAAATATTATTTGATCTTAATTTTTAGAGAATATATAATCTTTTACATAAAAATCATGAATATGAAAATAAAAAATTTAAAAAGTAGAAATAATAATTATACTAAAAAAACATTTGGACCGTTAATTGCAATTGTAAAACTGCGATCCAGCCCGCATGAAACTATTTTCCTTTTATAATACTCTTAAATACTATGAATACAAATGTCTGGTCCGCAAAAAGATTGGGGAGCACCATACCTGATGGCAGATTGTGCCTTGGTCCATGCGAGCATAAGCATACAATAAAAGCCCAACACATATATATACAAAACTTGTTGCTACAAGCCGAACTCTTCACATTAACTTTGATAGAAACCGCACGTAAGTTTCCAATCTTGAGCATTCTCATAGCATTTTTTTCCCACCTAAAAAAAGAAAAAAAAGGAAAAAAAGAAAAGGAAAGAAACAAAGAGCTGAACCCATGTTGCGAAATTATGTGATTTATGTAAGCAAATAATCAATTTGTATTTCAAATAATTAATAAACTTGGGAAAAAAAGCTAAAATTCCCCTTCTTAATCAGAAAGTGTATGAATTGTTTTAAGTTCAATTGATGAAGATCTTGGCGGCAGAAGAGGCTCTGGGGAAGAAGGCGAACTTCTTTGCGATCCAAAGCTGTTTGAGATGAGCTAGTCTATACTCATTCTTGATATCAACTTTTTCCAGCTCTTTGGCATTCGATAGCAAGAAGCCAATCAATTCCACATCTTCCTCGATGCCACTAAGACACTTGACATCCACTCTCTTGAGGCAACTCAACCAGGTCTCATAATCAAAATTAGTTTTTCTCCAGTATGATCTACTGATTTGATTCGGGGGTTTTGCTTTGCTGAGCTAGAGAGACAAAAAAGAAAAAGAAAAAGAAAACATATGTCAATAAAACCCAAACAAATAATATCAGAAAAACTCTTGGCGAAGTGTGGTCTCTTTCCAAAATCCATGTCAATTTGAGAAAATATGGAACCTAAAATATCAAAATAGATTATTTTAGAAGAATTAGAATGAACAGTCCCAAATTGATAAATGATAAAGCAAATATCTTATCAAATCTAAGACTTAAAATTTATCTTTTTTCTTTCTCAGATTCATGATAGTCATGAGTCAAGATTATCCATCTTAAATCATATTCGAATCCAGAATCCGTCTCTAACATGGATTTTGGGAGGAGACTTCATATGAATATGGTGAGTGCAGTGATGCACCAAAACACCACCCAAGAAATGACCGTGAAAAAGTGAAGGAAAATAGTGCTGCTAAATCTTGCCAATGCTTACCCAAAGAGACAATGTTTCCAAGAAAGGACAACTTCTTAGCAGGCATAAAAAGCCCATAACCTCTTTGGTTTCCCTAGAATTGATGCCAAATATAAAGTCCTCAGATAAGTATATGTGGTAGAAAGCCGCTCGCTCTCATCTCCACTAAATCATTTATGCACTTGTAAATGAAATCTCCATGACAAGAACACGATTTCTTAGTCAAAAAATTAAATGATTAAGAAAAATAGAAAGAGAATACTCATTCC